ACATCGACATCGTCTACATTTTCGTGTGAGACATTGTCAACATTTTGAAGAAGGTCATCATTCGATGGTAGATCCCAAATAATTAGATGATTAACATGCTCGAAAACACACCGATGGTTATTGTTTGGCTCTCTGATGTAGAACACTTGTTTGGCTTGTGACGCATATATGAGTTGATCATCTTTGTATGCTTCGCGTCGTGTGTCGATACTGGTGAAACTATCACTAGAAATAACTCCTGTTCGAGTATCAAACCAATAGCAACAAAATATTACAGTTGAATAATCATGTGTATACCTTAACTCTATAATCTCTTCTAACTGGCCATAATATTTCTCGCCTTTCTCACCCACCGCTAAAACCCCAGAGTTTTGTGTTGTACGTTGTGTGTCACGACTAAGTACCATAAACCTAACACCATTGACTATGCATGCGGTGTAAGAATAGGCATTCATTTGCGGGCCCATTGCAAGAACCGACAACTCTTTGTGGAATTCTGGAGATTTTTCTATTTTCATTTGATGAACCTAACAATTATAAATTAATATGTATTATGTATTCGTTAGATCAATAAAACAAATTTGTTTATTAATTTATATTACCTTTTCACGAAACCAATTACGAAATTCTCTCTTTTCATAACTTTGGGGATGCTCAGATTTGAATTTCCTATGTTGATGATCAAAAGATATAGATTTAAAAAGATAAAATAAAAAATTAAGAATGAAAGTTAGAGATAAGATTAATTACTTGATATACTGCTATTCAATACAAACCATTCCATGTTATGCATTTCCATTAAATTAAGAGTTTTGATTTGAGTTGTGCTGGTCGGTCGACATTTAGACTCAAACATCCAAAACTTTGTTTTTTCAATGACAACATCTACATTTCTTTCCGGACGATTCTTTACATCTCGAAGGTACATCGAACAAAATGATAAAGCTTCTTCAACAACATAACCCTCAGCTATAGAACCTTCTAGCCTCGCCTTGTTTCTTACATAGTTTTTTAGTTTTTTTCATATACCTCTCGAAGGGAAACATCCATCTCATACAAACCGGGCCTCCAACAATTGCTTCATCAGTTAAATGCAAAAGTAAATGAACCATAATGTCAAAAAATGTTGGAGGATAAATCAATTCTAACTTGCACAAGATTGCAATAATGTCTACTTTTGCTTTTCTCATATCCTCCACCTTCAATGTTCTCGAACAAAGTTGCTTGAAAAACGTACAAAGGTATACAATAGGTGTATAAGTATCTTTGTCTAACAACCCTCTTACTCCAATCGTGTAACTGCCCAGATCTCCAGGTATCTTTAATTTCATATTTTTGGTATTTTGTGAGGGGACTCGGCGAGTTGGAGGTCGAACTCGCCGAGTCGGGTCGCGGTTTTGGATGAAGGTTCGCGTCTGGACTCGGCGAGTCCAAGGGATGGACTCGGCGAGTCCGTGCTGTTTAATGAAACCCTAATTTTCCGGTCCTAAGCCCTATTTAAAGGACCTTATGGCCCTTCATTGCGGCCACCTTGAGCCTTGAGTGCACCAAAGCAGCTGAGAGTCCTTGTGAGTGAGATAAGAGGCTATTTGTTCACCAATTTGTGTGTTATTGCAAGAAAGGAAGGAGAAGATCAAGCTAGAAGAGTTGGGGAGCTTGGATCTGCTTCTATTTCATTAAGGGAAGCTTCTTGAGGTAACTTTCAGAGCTAATCTTCGTGTTTTGGTTGATATGTCAAATCTAGGGTTTCTTCTTGCCTTATTTGACTTGTATTTGAAGTATGAAAGGTCCCATGGAGATATGGAACCTAGATCTGGACCTTAGCAGGTCCAGAAGGCCCCAAATGATATGCTTTATGTCCATTCTTTTGAGTTGGAGACTAGGGTTGCCATATTAGAGGTTATTTCCCCAAAAAGAGCCTTGTAAGTGTTGCATGGCGGCCAAGACTGAGACTTTACGTGATAAATGAGCTTGGGAAGGCCAGATCTATGTGTTTATGGAACGGATCTTACCGCAGAAGCAAGTTTTAGTTGATGCATGGCATGGACTCGCCGAGTCTGAAGAACAGACTCGACGAGTAGCTTGAAGATTGTCCTTAAAACCACCCAGTGAGTAGTCCTACCGAGTTGTGGGTGACTAAGTGAGTCACAGAGAGTTAGAGAGGTATTGACAGGTGGACCGAGTCGAGTTGGGACTCGCCGAGTTGTCCTTGCGACTCGGCGAGTTGAGTCGCGGTGGCCCCGTGATTCATGACCAGGTGGAACTTGTCGAGTCAGGGGATTACTTGACGTGTCAAAGGGAAAATCCTTGCGAGTTGGTGAAAACGCGTAGAGTCGCCGAGTCGCTCTAGTGCACTTGCCGAGTCCGGTCAAATTGACCAATGACTGTTGACCAAAGTTGACCAGTGTTGACTTGATAGGGATGGTCAACCTTAGTGGTACAAGTATTAATTATAGATATATGATGTTATAGGAGGATTATAGCTCGGGGGTTCGAGCACGAGTGATTTCCAGGGTTCACGAGTTATCGAGATATACGAGGTGAGTCTTCTCACTATACTGTACCCGGAAGGGTTTAACTGTGTGACCGGAAGGTCGAATATGATACGAGATATATGCATTCTGTGTGATAAGTTAATCGTTATATGTGCCATGTATGATATGCTTGATATGGGCCGGAAGGCATTATGTAGAAAGGCGTTGTAAAATGGACCGTAAGGTTGTCGTGGGTAGGACCGGAAGGTTTGCCCAGACGGGACGGAAGTCCCCTGAGACACATGGACCAGAAGGTCAAGGCCTGGAAGGGCGTATGTGCGTAGGTTGTATTTTGGGGAACTCACTAAGCATTTATGCTTACAGTTGTTGTGTTATGTGTTTCAGGTACTAGCGAGGACCGTGGGAAGGCGCCGGCGTGATCGTACACACACTCGGGGAAAACTATTTTGTGATCTTTGTTATGTAATCGGTCATGACAATATTGTTTACATTGGAACTTAAATTATTACTCGATGTTTTGATGTTTGTAAAAATGAAAAAAAAAATTGGTTTAAAATTTTCGTCGTTACAAATCGGTATCAAACGTTGCAAAAGAATGTGGTGGTCATGCGATTTCAACCCAATAATGTTAGTATTAGTATCGTTCACTTTCTTACTGATGTTAGAACCAAACCCATCCGGTAGTTTAACCTCTTTTATAAATTGACAAAAGAGTTGTCGACTAGATTTCGTGAAAGAGTATCTTGCGTGGGGTCTATGAAACTTGTCACCATTTTTTTTGCAACCATTCATTTCTCCGAATGTTTAGAATTCTCAAGTCCTCTTGTGCATTTGATGTGTCTTTTCTTTTATCGTTCATTAGGAGAGTACCTAACAAACTCTCATGCACATTTTTCTGGACATGCATGACATCTATGTTGTGTTTCAACTGTAGAGAAGACCAATACTCGAGTTCGAAGAAAATGCTTCGTTTCGACTAGTTCAACTCGTAATTTTGCCGCTTTGGCTCCCCGCCTCCATGCTTAGGATGTTTACCCGGTTTACGAGTTAGTAGACGACCTAGTTGCTCTTGTATGTCATCATTACTAAAGTGTCTCGGAGCGGGTCCTGTCTCTTCCATCCTGTTAAAGTCCAACCTCTTTCTTAACGGATCATTAGCATCTAGGAAACGATGATGACCGATATATACGACTTTGTTTGTTGCACGGTACGAAGGAGTGTCTTCATTTCAAGTAGCACATGCTCTATACCCTTGCCCACTCCAACCTGATAGACTACTATGAGTTGACCAATCGTTTATTATCCACAACAACCTAGCTCTCATCGTGAAGAATGTGTTTGTCGTTGCATCTTTAATACGTACGCCTGAGTTCCACAAATGTTTAAGCTCTTCCACCAACGGTCTAAGGAAAACATCCATATCCTTACATGGAGTTTTCGGGCCTGGAATCAACAAAGTCAACATAAATGATGACTCTTTCATACAAATCCAAGGTGGAAGATTGTATGTGGTGAGTATGTCCGGCCATGTGCTATGTGGATTACACATGTTTCCAAATGGATTGAAACCATCAACTGAAAGACCTAGGCGTACGTTACGAGGTTCACTCGAGAAGTCGGGGTATTTTTTTTTTATCAAAATCTTGCCAATGTTCCCCATCAACAGGATGAATCATCACACCATATTCTGAACGTCTGGTACTATGCCAAATCATATTTTTGGCAGTGTGACTCAAACAATATAAACGTCGTAGTCTAGGGGTCACAGGAAAGTACCGTAACAAATTATGAGGTACTTTCTTACCCTTGGTGTTTTTATCAATCCATCGACTCTCTTTACAAATGGGACAAACTTGCAATGAATCATGTTCTTTCCAAAAGAGACAACAATCGTTTTTGCACACATGTATCGAGTCATACCCCAGGCTAATAGACTTTAGTTTCTTTTTGGCTAGATAATGTGAAAGGGGAACCTTGTTGCCTTTGGGAAATGCTAATTGCAAGAGCTCAAGGAGTTGATCAAACGAACTATCAGTCCATTTGTTGTTCACCTTGATATGCATTAACTTTGCAAGAAACTCAAGGGAAGAAAAGATGCAACCGGTATATAATTGAGTTTCCCTTTCTTCCAACAACTGTGCAAAATCATCATCCACACCGCTACCCCTTGTATTCGAGGTTCCTTCATCAAGGTTGGTATCATTTTCTCTCGACTCCCACATCACATCGTCGATTAAATCGGCCATTTCGTTACTTGGCAAGACAACTGGAGGAATAAAAGATTCACCATGATAGATCCAATTTTTTTACGCCTTACGGAAACCATTTATAAATATATGACGTTCAAATGCAGTTGGGTACTTGAAGTAACGGTTATCACATTTTTCACACGCATATCTGATTTTACCATTACTATCAAGGTGCGATTTGGACTTCTTGATAAAAGCTTTGAGTCCTGCTTGGAACTCGGGATGGTTTCGATATTGATTAGTAATCCAGCTTTTATCAATAGACATGATGTTGCTGAAACATAATTTTGGGTTTAAAATTTAGTATACAGAATTAACATTGTTTTTTTTTTTTTTCCAATCCACATTTTTTTTACATCTAAAATAATACAAAAATTAAATAATAAAAAAATAAAAAAAATAAATTAAAATTTTTTATTTATGCATTTTTTAATTAATTTTAATTAAAATTACTTGTAAGTTTTTAAACAGTTTTATAATAGACATTATGTTGTTGTGTTGTTCTTTTTTATCGTCGAGATTAAAATATATATAAGTTTTTAAATAATTTTATAATTTTAATTAAATTACTTTGCTAGTTTTTGTATATAAGTTTTTAAACAATTATATATATATATATATATATATATATATATATATATATATATATATATATATATATATTTGTTTTTTTCCAATTATAACAATAATTAATTTTTATTTTCTTTTCAATTATAGCATCCTACTTATAAGAAAACCACATAATTTTACATAATATATAAGAACATGAAATTCACATACTTTTACATACATATTATGTTGTTGTGTTGTTCTTTTTTACCGTCGAGATTAAAATATATATAAGTTTTTAAACAATTTTATAATTTTTTTTTTGTGTTTTTTTCCAATTATAACATCATTTTTTTTCTTTCAATTATAGCATCCTTTAACCTATTTTTATGGTAACCGATTATTATTGGTTATAGAAATATAACCTTATAAATTAATTTGAAGATTATAAGTTAACTATATAACTTATTGGTTAATTAATTTGGAGTTAGCTTGGGTAAAAACTAGAAACTTTCTAGTTTTTGTATATAAGTTTTTAAACAATTATATATTTTTTTTTGTTTTTTTTTTCAAATTATAACAATATATATATATATATATATATATATATATATATATATATATATTTCAATTATAGCATCCTACTTATACCAAAACCACATACTTTTACATAATACATAAGAGGATGAAATTCACATACTTTTACATACATATACCACATATACACGAAATACAAATACATACATATACACACAAAATAACATCCTACTTAAACCAAATACACATAATTTCACATATAGATAATAATATCCTATTTATACCAAATACAAAAGTTTCACAATCATATACCACATTTACAACAAACATACATACATTCATATACATATAATAACATCCTACTTATAACAAATACATATGATTTTTACCAAATACTCATTTACCACATATACATCAAATACACATACATTGGCAACAAATTCACATATATTCAAATTAAAAGTGAAATTAGCAGATGAACTTACCTTTGTTGAAGAATTGGAGTTAGAAATTTGTCCCAAAAGTTTTAACCACACCTAATCCAAAACAACACCACCAAAAACAAATATATGGACAATTTATTACCATTCAATCACTAGATGAAGCTAAAACTCGAAATTAACATACAAATTGAAAAGGAAATTACAAAATCAACTTACCTTTGTTGAAGAAATGGAGTTAGAAATTGGTCCCAAAACTTCTTAATAGGACACAATGTGGGAAGAAATTTGCTTGGAATAAGCAAATAGAGGCTGAAAATCGGATGAAGCTGGAATTGGGGAAGGAAAGAAGCGCAACAAACAGAAAGGAAATGGAGAAATGAGGGTTCGTCGTGCGTTTTTTTTTTTTTTTTTTTTTTTTTCCTGCGAGAGGCAATAGCCGCGACACCTTTAGCGGCGACAGGTAGACATTTACCGGCGACTTTTAGCAATAGCGGCGACAAACTGGAGGGAAGAGTACCGCGTGTTTTTTCGTCAACTATTAGCGGCGACTATTTTAACTCTTTAGCGGCGACAAATATGTCGCCGGTATTAGGTTAGATACAATAAGACACCCCACCCGTTGGATTAGATATCTCATCGAACGACTCATATGTAACAGAGGGGGAAAGTGCGGATCCGGGTGCCAACCCTTTACCGGCACATTTTTACCGGCGACAAAGGGATTTAGCGGTGACAATATCTAGAGTCGCCGCTAAAACCCCTTGTCGCTGGTAATAGTGTCGCCGGTAAAGGGTATATTTCTTGTAGTGTTTATATAGAAAAAATCTGGATTTTAATGATTTTTTAACTGTCATTTTACCGCTATAGATTAGCAATGAAATGTCATAAACCTGTAACTTAAACAGCAGTCTTTCTGGTATAAAACAGCTTGTAAGTAATTTTTCACCAAATAAATCTATTGGTAAGTTGTCGCAATATTTATCACAAAACTGATCCATTGGAAATCCACCACAAAAATCACAAAAATTATTAGTGACGAAAAAATACTTTTGTCAACGAACACAACCTACAAATTCATCTGGAAAAAGGCAATTTCGGACAGACTGGCCGTCGAAATTTGCCCATTTTGTAGTAGCTAGTTGTAATTAATTTGTTTGTTTTCTAGTAGTGGATGATGATTACATATAGTTCACCGGAAAAACGTCAACTAGAGCTCTAAGTGTATGCGTTTATGTGTGTTACGTACATAGATAGATAGAAAGTGGGTAACAAATGTGAAACGTACAGAAGCAAAAACTAAGATCTATTTAGTTGGAAATATAATATTTTATAATATGATTAATATCTTTTTATAATTATTTTAGTATGTAAAATAAAAACTAATTAGCTCAATGATTGAAGCTTGGGCTTGACATCCGATAACTAATAAGCCGGAGCTAGGCTCAGACTCATTTATTAATACAATCTTGAGTTGAGAATTTAAACGAGAGTCTATTGATTATGAGTAGTTCGGTTCGATTAAACACATACGCTAATTACAATTTACAATAACCAATTTGTTTATGATCCACCTCTTTTGAACCTCATGTAGGGTCAGACAACAAGCATACTGTATATATAAAAAAATTAACAAAATAGTTTTTTTTTTTCTTGGAATAATGTTCATTCAAAATGCTTGCTTCTGCTTTAGTTACTCTTGAGCTTTGAAGCATGATATGTATTTGGGATTGAACTGGTGGAACCTTTATTGAAGCTCATTGATTGGGAACCAGCACCAAACCCTGATCTATGAGTCATGTACTCCGCCGTGGGTGGCTGAAACTCCAACCTTGTCATGCGGTGGGATGAACCAGTGGAACCAGTGGAGAGGGAGAGGACTCGATAGCTGTTGTGAAGACTGTGCTTCTTCACGGCATGCATCAGAAGTGGTATCAATCCTTCCATTGTTTTTGTTGATATTTGTGGATGTAAATTTGATGAATGTTTTTGGAGGGTTATGATTTAGGAACTTATGATGATGGTATATATATGGAGAGGGTGGCACATAGGTTTGTTACACTTTGTCGTATGTTGACTTTGTGGGTAGGATGTTGTTTTTGGACAAAACAAGATATCAACTCGTGTTCGTTTTTAGGATAATATGGAGTAACTGGGGTGGGTAAGGTAGATCGTGGAAGAGGTAATGGTATTCAACCAATTTTTTCAAAGGGCGGAAGGGTTATTATTGTAATTTTGGGTGTTGGGAAAATGGCGAGTAAACTGTCGTTTTTGACATTTCAAAACTTCAAACAAATCACGATCTTTATTTTTAGACTAAGATGACAACCTTTATCCCTTATCCTTGTGATGTATTCTTAATACATAATTTTAGTCCACTTTCATTTTACAATTGTAATTATTTAATATAAAATTAAATACGTCACCAATGAGGCATCAAATGATGCTAACGCCCTTCTATAATAATAATAATAAATGATGTTACGCATGTGCTTTAATCAAATGATGTTACGTGCTCAAATAAGTGTTTGTAGTCTTTCATGCGCGCAAGCACACACGAAAGGCTTGAATAGGTTTTACCAAAGAATTCAGGCCACCATCAAAATCCATCAATAAAAATTCCAAGTAATTCAGATTTGCAGATGATATGACTTAATTTTTGGCTTACATCATCTCCAATTTTACTTTATTTTTAGAATAAAACACTAGAGTTAATGTCATATTACTCTTAACTAACTTTTGTTTTTGATTTTAAATGGTCACTAAGTCTTTTTTTTTTTTTTTTTTTTTTTTTTTTTTTTTTGTGTGTGTGTGTCTCCCCTTAAACTTTCAAATTGTGATTTATATTAAGGAATATCCTCGAAAATTAAAGGTCATCCGGTTCTCTAGGTGAGATCACTACTAGAAATCTGACCTTCAACTACGAAATCAGCGACGGATTCTATTCATAGCTAATTAGTGACAGTTTAGTGAGGGACTAGTAACAGAAAGCACAAATATTTGTATCAACGAGGGATTGGTAAGAATTTATCGACAAAAAAATATTCCCTCGCTAATCTGTCGCAAATCAAAACCCTTTAGCGATTTAACTGCGACTGATTACTAAAATCACATGTCTTTTTCCCCTTGGCCCCGCCAATCGCTTGCAAAAAAATTGACGTCTCTTTTTTTTTTTTTATTCCCCGCCTTTCCTTCTTTTTCCGCTCCCTCATTTTATTTTCATTCCCCTTTTTTTGATGCCCCATTTTATTTTCATTCTCTAATTTCTTCCCAATGCTATAAACCATTTCCTCCCAAAACCCTAATCGAACCTCTGTCGATTCAAATCCCTCCTCCGCCTGAAAATCACTTCGGCCACCGCCACCTGCATCGCCCATCCATGAAGTATGATTGAAGAGTATTGGAAAACCTCATAAATCACATCCTCGTTGGCATTCATCTCGGTCCGCCGGTCTAGCTTTTTGACTCTCCGTTTCCTTGCAACGCCATTTGATCCGTCAGTTCATCCTCTCTTATAGAGCAAATCTAAATTAGTCTTCATCGACTTCCAATTATGTTTTCTAGTAGCATGTAAGTTCCATATCCATGTAACTCTCTTACTTATATTACATTTTTAGCTCAAATCATAACTCTTTTTCTAAGCTCTACCTTCCTTAAGTTCTTAATTTTGGTTTCCTAGGGTTTTCTGGTTGTTTATATACATTTGGTTTTTGTCATTACAGTTTAAACCCTTGGTATCTAGATGTTTTTTTATGATGTTTTACCTTTGGTCAATGAGATATTTCATATATTAATTATACTTCCTGATGATCGTAATCTTATGGATTACATAAATTAGCGTATGAGTTCTTTCCTAGATTTAAACTGATACAAATTTGGTACAGGGTGTATGCCTTTGACAAAGGGCTCAATTTCAAAACGACATCAATCACGATTTCCAGAATATTTGGATCGATTATCGGTATTTTTTTTAATACTCTTGTATTCTTTATTCCTATCTTCTTTGTAGGATTCATGTTTGACTTTTAGGTCCAGGATATAGCTATTGAGTTAAAGCTTTGTTCATGTTGTGTGATATTTAAAGAGTTAACATCTGATCGTCCATAGAGAGCAGTTATCATTTAAGTATCTCAATATTTGAATAATGTGACCAGTAGAAATCTTGTTCCTTGGTTCAGGATCCAATTATAAGTATAATTGTGGAGTCAAGAACTCATGCGGTGGACAATGGGTCGGAGGAAATGCATTCAAGGACAAGTATCAAATTGGTTATGTATTTTAAGCAACTTTGTTAGATTAAGCTATATATTGATATTCCAAAGATTCATAGTTTATGCATGTTTGGTAATTTCTTATGGATTTCGTCTTAGTCTTACCCAAACTAGTTTTCTAAAAGATGTTGTGTCTTTGGTTTGTTACTTCTTACAAACTGCATCATTATGCCTAATTCAGGTTTTATTTCCACGCTTTATGACACTTCAAACTATGATTCCCACATCAAGGTACACATATCTTTCTCTTAATGAAAGTAAATTTAGTTTCTCCGAATCATAATTGTAATTAATCGATTACATCCTCTCTTTAGCCTAATCATGGATCCTAGAACTGACATATACGAACCATCATATGGGACAATATTTGGTTGTCACAATGTAAACATTAATCTAAATTACATGCTTAAAAGTATGTTTATTGCTTCAGAGTTCAGGCCATTTAAACAAGGAAGATATCAAGAAGATAATCATAAGGTTGGTAAATCATGTTCATTTTCCAATATTACCCTTCCATGTTAAAGGTGTGTTTTTATTATTATTATTATTTTTTTACGTTCTAAAGGGGTAGCCATCCTGCTTTAGCATCTGTTAATGTGATGCAAAGAACCCCAGAGATTATTTTCTAGATTCTTATGTTTGTTGGTTCTTCAAGATCATAGTAAGTATAAAGTTTACTTTTTATTTTAATTGTAATTTCTTTAAGCACTTTAAAATGTCAATTTTTTTATTCTTGCAGATGGGACTTCTGTCTTCAGAAGG